TCTCAGGGGTCGAGCCGTGACGAATGAGAAATTTTTAAAAATCTGATAAATCAATTGATTTTTCCATTATTTCACTAGCCACTCTATATGAGGAAAGACAGCGCAAGAGTGCTGTACGTGTTCCGGCATCAGCCACGTATTCTCTATAATTTTGTTTCCGAGTCCTTTTTGAACTCGTTGGTCTAGGCAACAGGCAGACATGAGAGAATACCACTTCGGTATATTCAAGGTGGGTTTTTTTCTAAACCTAACACTGTTAAAAGCCATCTACAGCCCAATCTAAACAATGAAAGGACAACGAACTGGGTATAGAGAAAAAAAAGGGCATAAAAAGTAAAATTCCGATAAATAAATTTGATTCCGGAAATCGCCAATAATGATATTTATGGTGTTGTACAATACAAAAAGTGTTGCAAAAAATAAAATATTAACGTATACAAAATAAGAAAAATTATAAATTGTATTCACTAGATTCACTTTACCGGCGAGTAATTTGACCGCCGTTCTAGAAATATTCTACACTGGCTCTGATGTGTGTACCACAGTGCTTCTCAAAGTTTCAATATTTGCTACCCAATATTCAATCATAATTTTCCTCGCGCGCTCCTCTTCCATAAAATAACAATGAATTGAATTCAATAATACTATAACTTCAATGCTAAAGCTACAATATAATTTTAACCTCTTAAGTGCTACAGGCATATATAGACGTCTCACTCAGCCAAAGCGTTAATTGCCCCTGACATACATATACGTCTTGCGGACGTACTACCTTTTCTGTGCACTGCTATCCATAAAATTATTCCGAACGCAATAAGATGACTTTGGAATGCATTAAAAGGACATTGACAGTGTGTGCGATGGATTTACTTATTTATTCCTTTTCTCCCTCTCCCCCTTCCCAATTCATCGCATACGCACGTTTACGTGGAAAATGGTGGCTTTAGGGAGTGAATCGTGTAACTTTTAATTTACAGTTAAAGGATAAATTATAAACAGTACAAATTATCAAGTTAAGTATAATTTTATATATGACAAGCCTGTGGGGTCACTGGTAATTATTAAACTTGTTCTTAACTTAGTATTGTTAATTCAAAATTAATTGTAAGATACATTGAGCAGTACTGATACATTGATAAATGTATTATAGCAGTGTAAAAGTGTGTTTTTATTTTTTATTATGTCAGAATGTATTTTGCTTGTTTACTTTCAATTAATTAATAATATTTTTTAAAATAGTCTTTTGTTTTCGAACTTTCAATATGCTCGCACCCCCTTTGTAGAGTTCTTACGCCCCCCTAGGGGGGCGCCCCACAGTTTGAGAAACGCTGGTGTACCAACAATGGTTTTCTGTAATAGGTCGACGATTATATACAGATACAACATTTCTTCTCACTTCTGACACACGATACGTCCTGGGCGAATTGTCAATGACTGTTTTTTCCAGCTTCCAATCTCGATCGAATTTTTGCGAAATTTTAAAGCATTAAGTTAAAAAGTCCTCTTATGTATATATATATATATTTCCTCTGAAGGTTTCTAATGTCACGTAGAGCCATGGATGATTAAGAGAAAACAGCGTTACCAATATCACAACCTCTGGTAATGCGAGTCGCATATTCAATTGAGCTGGATCACTTCAGCTGTGAGTACTATTCTTCTGAACAGTCTATGTTTTTATAGCCCAAATTATAATGGCGCGTTGTCGCACATGAAAACATACATTTGTATTTTGCTTTTACATCCGTGTTTTATGATGACACTCAGCTTGGTAAGTTTATAGCAGCACCATAAATACCGCTATCGGTGATTTTTAATCTAATTTCTCTTTTCTCCCGAAATCTCTCTCGCTTAACATGTTATTATAAGTATCCAAATCAAATTTGTGGATATTGCAGTCGATAGATCGAGTTATAGGTAGTTCTGAATAGTGTCAGTTTAAAAAAAATCAACCTATACACACACACACATAGCACTTCCATGAGCACTTATAAGCTGCGTGTAAATTTATTTTATAAAACTTTGGTGAATAAATTGTTGACTAGAGTCAAGAGATGCAAGTGATTGTATTAAAATGAAGTTATTTTTTACAGTGCATTAGATGAGTTTTTTTTTTATGTGTGAGGTTAAATTTAAAGGGAAAATAGCTATATTAGTAAGAAAATAGATTTTTCCACGCAAGATAGAAAACTTACAACTTTTTAAAGTTTACTTACTGTTCTGTTATCAAGATAAATATCTAAATACATAAATATGTGCTTTTCTTATAATTAAAAATAAAGCAATATATTTGATATTAGTTCTTTTTCTCTCTCTCTCTCTCTCTCATATATTAATATATTCAATTTCATATATTTAAATTGAGACATGCAATGAATAAATGCTAAAAAAATATTGTGTGTTCGAAGAAAGAAAAATAAACATAATTGAATATCAACTATTAATAAGAAAGATTAGTTATATACTACTCATTTCATGTAATAATATTCGAACAAAATCCTGCAATTCTATAATCAAGTGGTTTTTACTTACTCCTCAACTTCAGGTATCAGTGTAGACAAAGTTGTAGCGTTTGAATATGACATTGTAGAGGAATACTGAAGGCTAGTAGCTGTTGTAGTAGTAGAATTATAGATTGTAAATTCTGTTGTGTTTGATGTTGAGCACTCATTGGAAAGTGGAAGAAATGGGTGTGTTTTATTTTTGGGGATGAAACTCAAGCAAGCAGCCAGTGTCAAACTAACTACAATACCAAGAATAACCCCCTAAAAGTGAAAAATATATTAGACAACAAAGAATTAAAATATCAAAATTGTAGAAAATAATATCTTATCGCAGTATAGCTTCAATAAGAAAACGCTCTTAGAGTATGTGAGTGTTTTATTAGCATGTATTGTGACGAGCTCACGCGTCTTTTCTGTAACATAAATTCTGGGTTCTTTGACGGCCAAGATTAATGGCAAATCTTTTCCAACCCAAATCCAAAAAGTGAAATGCAAGTGTAGATGCAAATAAGATAGCCTTTAAAAGAACAAAAGTTTTAGTAAGCGGGATGGCAATTTAGAGAAAGTTCTGTTTGGAAAAGATAGAAATGTAATCTGACGGACTACCAAAGATTCACGGATTCCTTGCCATTTCTACAAGGTGCATACTATTGCACGCGGGTCTAACAGCCTATCTGAAAGTGATTGAACCGTTGCGGAATTCAAGGTAGGACAGATTATTTGATATCAGAATTCGTAATATTATTAGAATTGAAAGTAGGCGGATAATATAATTATTTAGATAAGTGATCCAATTGCGCGATCCGTTTTAGCTACGGCTATGTGTTTTGGTTTATTCTCACTTAATATAAGTGTGTCCAATATATTAGAAATTTAAGTTAAACTCTTAATAAAGTCATATTAAGAATTCTAAAATGTCGATTCATTTCGAGAACCCCACACCTCTAATTCACGCTGAAAACCAAAGATATGGTCGCCAAAGATCGACCATATCACAGTATGTGTAGAACTATTAAGTAACACGAGGGCTTTTGGTGAATGGCTTTCTAATTTTTAACAGCTATCAAGTGATGAGCATGACTCCAAAACTCTTTTCGAACCACCATACAAGTACTTATATTAACAAAGAAAAATGGCTAAGTAGAACATTTATATTGTATTTTATACATTTTTTAATAATTCAAAGGAATTTGCGGTTAAAAAAAGGAATTATTGAAATTATATATTTTTTTAAGAGAGCCAATTTGACTTAAGTTTTATTTTTTACAAATTTAAATTCTTGATCAATTTGTTTTTGTGGGAAGTTTTTGAAAGTAAACCTTATGATATCCGACTACGTTCGGAACCATCGTTTTAAAAAAGTCGTTTAAATGAAGGAGTTTTTTTTAATTTGGTGTCATCTGTATTAGAAAATACATGCAAAATTGTTTTAAAAATATTATTTCAGTAACAAAGTTTTAAAATGCACTTTTTCGACAAACAAGAAGAGAAAATTACATATTTTCAAAAAATTATCTGTCAATCTGAAATTCTTCTGTAATTATAATATTTTGCTTGTATATAGCAGAGACAGTTGCACAGAACCTGAATTAGGACTTTTGAAATACACAGTTTAGAAGTAGATTTATTCGTATTTTAAAATATCAGTGCCTAGAAATTTAAACAGAGACCCCTGGTTATGATTATGATTAAGAGTAAATCGGAAAATAAATGTGAATTCTTCAAAAATCCTAATTCAGGCTCTATGGAAAAGTCTTAGCTATAAAGAGGCAAAATATTATAATTTCGAAGCATTTTTCACGTGAAAGGAGAATGAGTTGAAAATGTAATTTTGTCCTCATTTCTTACCAAAGAATACATTTTCTTTTATTGTGATAATATTCTTTAAACAGTCTTATGTGTATATTCTCATTCAAAAGTTGTCGCCGCAGTAGCCGAATGGTCAAGGTATCGGATCATGGCTGGCTTGACACGAGTTCGAACCCAGTACCACTAAAGACCCGTCGTGTTGGGGAACGATGCACGTTAAATCTGTCGAGAGCTCAAACATCCTCCCGTTGGTGGGGTGTGGTAGTTAGAAGAAGGGGTGCCAGCTCAGGTGCCATCCACGTCACTTGACCATGGTTCAAAATTACGAACTACAGCGTCCTAAGTTCCCAAGGAACATATATAATTTTTTTAAAATAAACAGTATTTTAATATATGTAGAGGTCTAATTTCTTTTTACTGTTCATTGCTTTTTTTAATTCCTATTATTAGTTAACTCTCTCCCTATATATATTTATTTATATATATGTATACATATATGTATCTTGTTCAAATTTTCAATCGTTGGTAGAATACTTTATATTCATTCATTCAAGTTCAAATACATTTTTTTAAACTTGTAGTGGATGACACTTGATATTAATGCAGTTATTTCAAATATTAATTCAGTAGTTAATCTTAATTAATAATAATCCAACACCATATATAAAAAGGCAAAACGTTCTTTGTGTCCCTGTAGTGCGATAGGTACCGCGTTGGACTTCCAATCCAAAAGTCGTGGGCTCGAATTCCATCTGGGATGGCCTAATTTCTGAGAATGTGATTTCTTTTTACTATAATATTTTATTCTAATAATTAAATTTAATGAATGAATAAATAGTAACAAACAAAAATAATAAACCAACTCACTATAAAGAAAGGAAAATGGAAAATTGATTTCTATTTTGCCACTTAATATTGGGATTCTGTCATATGTATATAGATATTTATATTAATTGGAACTATTTATTAAAAAGTAACTAAAATAATAATTTACTTTTTTGACCTAAGTACGAATTTACTATAATTTTATGTATATTACTTGTTAAGGTATCCGACTACCCTAAAATTGTGAATTTTGTCGAAAATTGACAATTTTTATTATTATTTTATAGACCATCGTATTAGACTTATAAAAATACCAAGTTTATTATTTTAAGTCCAATAAAACAAAAACTACAAGTGTTTTAGTAAAAGCAGATGCTATTATTTTAAGCAAGATGTCATACTTTAAAATGCGTTTTACTTGAAATGTTTTTTTTTTTTTTTTTTTTTGAAAATGCTCAAACGGTGACAGCGATTTCTCAGAGCGCTTTGAAAATAATAAACAGAAATCTTTTGTGTATGTTCTGTATCACAGTAGAAGTGTTTTAACGTTTAGATTTATCAATCACTGTCTTATTACAAAATTTACAGTCCGTTATGTGAATATAACCACTGTTGTTTTAAACAATTTCATATAATAACTAAGATAAAGTGCTCTAATCTTAGTAAAATTTAACATATTTCTTATCCTGAAGGTCATTTCAAAAATGAATAACATAGCAACACATCAAAATTGAAAAATTGAAAATTAACTCATAAACTTTAATTACAGAGAATGGGCCCGTTTATATTATTTTTTTTGTAAATTTTTACTCACACACACATTTTTTCCCATTTTATTAATAATAATTTCTTTCTCTCTTCTTAATTTGAACACATTTTTCTTAAAATGCTCTAAACAAATCTAGAAACCACAAAAAATCCACTTATCTATTTCCTTTTTCTTAAGAAAAAGGTTGTCGCAAGTAGTCGGATACCTTAAGTGAGAATACCACAATAATTCATTCTGTGATCTTATATGTAAGAATCTCATTGTAAGAATGAAAATATTTAGAAGAAATATTACAAGTATTGCAAGAAGACTTGAATAACGAATTAAACACTAATAAACATACATTTTTCCAAGAAATGCAGGCATCATATTCTCATAAACATGGGAAAAAAATGTGCTTTATCAAATGTATACATATATTTATATTAATCAAATATGCAAAACATGAACGACAACTTTAATCGCAGGATTTCCTGTGGTAGTCATTAATAATCCAAACCATCAAGTAAATCACTGAATTCATTTATAACGGACTCACATTTGACACAACTAGATTAATTAATTGCATTTACATAAAGGTCAAAATGGATTATATCATGTACATAATGAATGCCAGAGACGCATTGATAAATATGCGAGGTAGTAAAATTAGCATTAATATGATTAAACTTGTATTAAGTGAATATATGGCTACACAAAATTAGTATTTTAATTCTAATCTCCACTGCAACGTGTGGTCGTGTGTTACTCGTTTATTTCATTTCCATCTACTTAATTTGTGTAAATATTTCTTCTTTGTTATGTCACTTACTTTAACCACTTTTTATTGTTTTCAACCCTTACCTCCAACTCTTCGAATTTCATATTTGATTTGATGTTGCTTTCTGAGGGTTCAACACCTGTATATATTTTTTAATCCTTTGAAGGTCACTTTTTACTGTGATAAAATTAAATGGAAAAAATGTATGACATCTACTATATAGTCTGATCATGTGGATTAGTAATATGAATTCACCAACAAAAAGCAGCAACTAAGAGTTGTTGGTGTGTGTGGTGAGGAACAGTTTCATATAGAAAAGACAGCCCCTCTACGGCATTGAAAGAAGTGATCACCTGGGCTTCTATAAATTGCTGTCGAAAAGCCTTAGGTAACGTGATTGCTAAAATGTCCTATAAATAACTTTTACTTGTTTTCATGTATTAAATTTTTTGTTTACAATATGTAACAGATTATTTGCCTGAACTTTGAAAAGTAATAAGAGAATAGCACTATTTAATCGCTTTACAAGAACAAAAAACAATAAAAAAAAAATGTGTTTAAAAAGTATAAATTATAAATAAAGATTTGTTAAAACTGCTAAAATTAGTTATTCTTGTAGATCAGTAATTATAAACAAACTTTATGTTACCCAACCTGAAAATATCTATATAAATTGTGGTTACGTGAATAGAGTGCATGATAATTCAATTTAACATGCTATTATTAAAACAAATTAAAGTATAATTTATAAAACCCAATTTAAATATAGTATAAATCGATAAATTGCATACGTTGTTTACATAAAAAATGAATTAAATTATTAAAATTATATCACACGGCACATAACGGAGGAAGAACATACGTATATTGATAAGAAGTTCTTTCCATGAAAGAAGAGAGAATGAAAAGTTTCAGAACACATATATGTTCTATGAAGAATGTGTTTGCATGTATTATTTATTGATGCATGTTATTTATTGTATTTTATCATTATATTACATAAGATCCCTTTTTAATAATCTCCAGACCATTCTCAAATATTCCTCTGAATCCCAATTACCCAACAAGTGATTCCCTCAAAACAGACTCAAAGCATTATGTCTGGGATAAATGAAAACTTCTTCGGAAGGGCGGTGGTTTCGCATTGATTGATTGATTCTTTATTTACGTCGGTCTGCAAGGGATGCGAACGTTAGTGCAGACGGTCCTAGTAATTATGAACCACAGTCAAATGACAAGGACGATACTTGTGCCGGAATTCTAAATTTCCACACCATGCCATCGTGAAGGTTTTTAGCTTCGACAGATTTGACATGTATCAGCCCCTCTACACAGTGAATTTTCACCATGACACGGGGCATATAGCTCTGTCCTCTAGTTATTTTAATTTTAGAAGTATATTATACCAATGAAAAATTTCTTTTTAAATATTTATTTGACTGAAGCGTATTTTTTAAATATAATAACGTAACCCCTTGATGGCTAAGGCTGTTCTTTGTGAATGCGTAAATGAATTAAATGCTATATTATGGCTAAATCCATAATCGGCCAGCTCAGCTATTAACCTAGACATCTGGTCGTATTTTTTTTTTCTTTGTGTGGTTGGGGAGGGGGTTTAAATCTCATTTCACAGTAAACCCAAAATCGCATTACATTGCGATCACGCATTCTCTCAAATTGCATAATCTTAACACCGAAAAGATCCTTCAAACGTCACAAAGTACAAAATGCGAAGTGTTAACGTACCTCTTCGTTTGCTGTCGTAGTGCAAGCAGCCAACAAGAATACTGCCAAGTTAGGCCCAGCTACCAATCCCGCGATGAGAACCGACATCTTAATGAGATGGCCTAGAGAAGCGATGAGGAAGGACACTCCCACGCACAGGGCTCCGAACACGAGACCTGAAACATAAAACTCGCTGTCAACCTTACAATTAATCTCACTCTTAAAGTGACAGACTACGTGTGGAACAGTGATTTTGAAAAAGCGTATAAAGGTTTTGATATTTAGGGTCAGTTCAATTAGAATATGCATATAAAATTGTTTTAAGACTATTATTATAAGAAAACAATTTACTTAAATACAATTTTTTTGTTAAAAAGAAAGAAAGACCGACCTATTTTCACAACTTTCTCCTATCATGAAAAATGCTTCTAGAATATTTTGCCATCATTATAGCTAGAACTTCTATACCTGGATTGTGCTAAAACGCTTGAAAAATTCACACATTATTTTAAGAGTTAGAGATCAATTGAAACAATAACGGTTGTTTTTGTTACAATTTCTCTAGTCTTACATACTAAAAGATGAATAAGACCACTTCTAAATCATATGTATGAAAAATTTTAATTCAGCTCCGGTGTAAAAATTCTAGCTATTATGTAGCCAAAATAATAATATTACAGAAGCAGTTTTTATGAAAAGAGAATATTTTTAAAATGTGTCCTTTCCTAATTTTTTGTCAAAAAATTGTATTTAAATATTTTTTTTCTTGTGATAATATTATTAAAACAGTTTTATATGTATATTCTCTCTAATTCAACTGACACTAAGTATCAAAAAACTTATCCACTAATGCCCTTTTTCAAAATCACGTTTCTGAACGTAGTCAGTTACCCTGGAAGAATTTATAAACACCTGAAAAATACTATAGTAAATAAAACAATGGTTATCATATACAGATAGGTTTAAATTACTTTTTGCTTTATATGGGAGATTAGAGAATTTTGTAAAGGAGCTTTGAAACTTCAGCTGGAATTTTTTATTTGCATATTAATAGGGAAGAAAAAATTAATAAGAATACTACAGGAAGTTGATACGCACAACTATCTTTACTTTATTTAACAGATTCGCGACTTCCTTAATAGCCATGGTTACAGCTGTGTGTGATTTAGTGGGCGAAAATATGGAGGAAAATTAGACGGAGAGAAAATTAGCATTTTGTTCACTACCACTAGCTGTCACGCAGTGTCATAATTCTTTATTATAGGGATAAACTTACTTTCATCGTTAGATTTATTGAAAAAGAAATATTGCGTGGATGTCATGAAATGTTTGGAACAATTATGTGAATACGAATTAAGAAACTATAATTTTTCACATTAGCCAAATGATAATGTAATTACTTATCATGTTAAGTGATTTAAGGTATCCGACTACGTACGGAACCGTGATTTTGCAAATGCGTATAAATGAATTATATTTATGATATTTAGTGTCACTTAAATTAGAAAATGTATATAAAATTGTTTTAAGAATAGTATTACAATAAAAAATTATTTAAGTACACTTTTTTGACAAAAAATGAGCATAGAATGACCCATTTTCAAAATATTCTCCTTTTGTGAAAAATTTATCTATTATTATAATATTTTGCCTGTATATAGATCACAGCTATCTACAGAGG